TTTTTTTTTTCTCTGTGATCAAAAGAACCAAACTTTATTTCATAAAAGTTACTTGGATATACAAGTGGGATAGCCATCCCACTATTTGTCATTGCATACAAAAATCTCTAAAAGACGAGATGATTGAGGGTATATTACAAGAGAACTATGTTTATTAGAGAGAGCAAAGTTAACTAGTTGGTCAGCTACTTTGTTTGCCTCACCATACACATGCAAAAGAGACATTTTTGTTTAGTTACGCTAAAACACTACAAAAAATTGACTTTTTGCGACGGTAAATAACGTCGCTCAATACTCCTAATCCCGTCGCTAATACTTTTTGCGATAGCGACGGCAAAATTAGAAAGTTGCAAATATGGACATGGGAAGTTCTTCTTCTAACTCACCCTTGGACTACGAACAAACTGCTCTCAATCCTTTGATTCAGAAAGTCGCAAATATGGACATGGGAAGTTCTTCTTCACAACCCTCTACATGGGATAAGGCTACAACTTCTTCCTCTTCTGGGGCTTCTGACTGGACAAGCTGGTCAAAACCTAAGGCCTGTGATTTGAGGGAACGAATCAACCATCACTTTGTCGAGTTTACTGACCCTTTAGAGTTCTCTTCTTATGTACGAAGCTCGGTGGTCTATCCCTACGTGCCCATTGACCATTGACGCAGTTTGAAGGAGAATCTGCTTGTGGCATGGTATACATCCTCCATGCCTACAAAGATAGTACTCGCCGCCCGACACCTAGAAGAGGCACAAGGGTACAATCCATCATTCTTAGCCCAAAAAGCGAAGATTTGTTCTTCTGACTGGCTTGATTATATTAATGCCCTTGTTTCTTCTGCCGTTGCTCCATCTCCTGAAATAGAAGCATCCACATCTTCTCCTCCGCCAAATCCTTGCTGGACAGAGAGACTTAGGCTTGCCCTCTCCGCAGATAAGGTATTTCCACCTTACAAGCCTCCACCTCCCCCTAATCCAGCTGAGCAGAAGCAAGCTCAACTTCTGCTCGCGGCTTTCTCTCACTTGCCCTTCAATGTTCTTGAGTACGAAGTCCCTCTCAAGAACCTTCGATGGGCTTGTGATATTCTGACTCGGGGTCATGTCCTTAATCCCCTTGCCCAAGCAGAGCTTCGCATGTTTTTGGACCAACTTCCATTGCTTCTCCACTGGCATCGGACCTCTATGGCCACCACACAATCTTTAGACCAACTCTCGTCCCTTCGAGTTCATGCCCAGTACGAAGCAGAGAACTTCATTGAAGAATTCGATGATTTCAAGAATAAAGATTCTACGTACTGGGATGACTTGGATATAGAGGAATTGGAACAAGGATTGAGAGAAACAGCATTCGAAATAAAGGCTGAAGAGCTCTTCTACGAAGTGAGAGCACATCAACTCATGCAGCCAATGTTAGAAGAAATAGAGGATAGAATAAAGAAAGAACAGAACTTCATTGATCATAGTTGGACTAAATTTCATGATCTTGTTATTTATTCTATTCCCTATTTTTATGAGCTTGAGTTTGTACCCAAATAGGGCCATTCGATGTAATTGCTTTTGCTTTAATACCACTAAGACTTTTTCTTTGTTTGGTATGGTTTGATCTTGTCCCCATTTGTCTTTAAAGCAAATTCAGGGCTTCGAACTGAACAATCTTATCATTCGAATCTGGACTCAATTGTTTAAAATGAAACACTAAAAACCAACATGAACTTTTCCAATTTATGGAATAATAGTTGACATTTTTTGCTGATTTTCATTTAGAATCAGTGCTTCGAATTCGATAGTCTTACCCCTCGAAGTTTATTTCGATCATAACCAACATATGGTCATGGTCAGTATGATCAATCAGCTTTAAATTGACCATTTTTTCCTTAGAATAACAGTCCATACTTTCAAAAATATGAAAGCTCCTTTTAGGGCTGCACTATTTTAGTCTAGAAAGAGAATCTTTCCTAAATATATATAAACCAATTATTGGTTTTGATGTTTCGAACAATTCCCATCCTTAAGGGATCTCAAGTTTTGTTTCGAAGGACATTATTTTCATTGAGAAACCTAAAACAGGTCTTTAATCCCTTCGAAGTAAACGAATACTTGAGCATTCTTACATCCATAGGTATGAAATGTACTTCGAAGCTGGTTTCTTAGTTTCGAAGCCGTTTATTATTCGACTTTTGGCATCAAAATCTGGTTTCGAAGCCAAATACTATACTTCGAAGCTGGCTTCAACGTCTGGGATGTGTTTTTCCCTCTAAAAGTATCAATATAGAAGGAAGCTCTTCGTATTTATAATTTTAATACTTAACGAATCACGCGATATATCTTCCAGACACAAAGGTTTTAAAACCCTTTTTTATTTTGTGCTCTGAAATCACTCGCTTGCTCAAAACACAAACCCTTTTCCTCTGTTAACCCCCTCTTCCTTGCCTCTTCCTTACTGCTTGTTACCAATGGATTCTTCTTCTCTAAAAGTGCTTGCTGGTGATCGTATAAGCCCAACCATGGCTTTGAAAAGATGTATTGATTAAGAGATTGCCAAGTTAACAACTAATGAGTCAAGCGCCATAGACGGCCGCCTCTTCGTTCCTCGTCATAGTAACAAACAAGAATACGTCTTGGGTCCCATCTTTCGAGAGGCTCCTGCTCAACTTCCAGCTTTATACCCTCGTCTGGAGGACCATTTTCTTCTCTACGAAGGAGGGCTCGACTGGGGAAATTGGAGGGTAACCCGACCTCATCGCTGCTGGCCAACATTAAGAGCTGAATGAGAAGAGTGGTATGACAGAGTCGTACCTGCGCGAGAAGACGACCTGCAAGAGCTCTGCATTCTCGATGCCCTCCGTCTTTCTAGGTTTATCATTCCTGAAGACCCTTTCTTGATTCCCGCTGCTTTTTGTTTTTGGAACATGGCTTTCAATTTCTTCCAATTTCGGTGTGGTATGATGGCTCCCACCGTTCTTGATATTTGCCCTCTTTTAGGGCTTTCACCACTTGGCTCTCCTTTCACTCCCGGCTATCCAGACCTTCCTGTTAAGTTCTCACTTCCACCCTTAAACTTCTCTTACAGTGAATTTGTAAAGGTCAAAAATAAAAGGGTAGGTCCCATGAGAGGTAGAGAACTTTTTTCCTTCATTTTGTACTGGTTGTGGAAATTTCTCTTTTGCACATCATCTCAGAGGATTATGCTTGAGTTCGCTCCACTTGCGAAGGCACTTGTTTTGAAAGAACGCATAGCCTTGGCTCCTTATCTTAGGCCATGTTTATAGAGCATGTTCCCAATTTTGTGAGAAACCACTTGATGTGAACCAAGGGGGTTCCCTTTGGGTGCTCCAACTCTGGCTCTTTGCTTACTTCACTGATTTGCATCCCAAATGCTTAAAATTCTTTGTTCAGGACCCTAGCACTTGTGAGGAAAAATATGCCAGAGTCATTCTTTATCATGCTTCCTTTGCCTACTACTTCACATTTTTCCACCAACTTCCTATTTCTCCACTTGCTACCTTCTTCTATTCCTTTGATGCCAACAAAGGACCTGCTTGACTACGAACTTTCTTAGCTGATAAAGAGTGCTCTACCCCACCCCACAAAGACATGTGGGCTTCTATTTTGCTGCCGAGGGAGCTGTTCATTGGCACTTTAAACCCTCGAGCTTATAAGTTGTATAGTTGAGGTGTACTGTCCTTCTCAATTTGCCAGGCAATTTGGGTTAACTTAGGGGATTCTTATTCCACTCTGCAGTCTCTCGAATGTCCATCTTACAGCCAGAGACCTGAGAATACCCAACTCAAAACTGGAAGAAGCAACATTCAAACTGTTGAAAGAAATGAGCGAGTTCAAATTTGTCCCATTCCTTCCTTCTGGCCTGGCTCTAAAAAGATTTCAAAACTGGTGGACAACCAATATGGAAGTGCACCTATCCGTACACCCTCATAACTTACTGATAGGGTTAGGAGTGCCTTCGAAGGTCAAATCAACAACAGTTGAGAACATCCTCTCTCTTTCCACAGCTGCCAAAACTGCTCCTGTAGCCTCATCCTCTCCTGCTAGAGTTATCAGAACTGCTTCAAAGAGGGGTAAGTATTTGCAGGTTTCCCCTTAGACTCTTTTGTTTGTTTCCTTTACATTCATACCTCTTGGTGCAGGGTCTCCACAAGAAGAATCTCCTAAGAGGGCTGAAATCCTCACTACTCTTAAGGACAAACAAAAACAGAAAAAGAAAAGGAAGCTGATACTCACTCCTAAGGAATCCGAATCCCAAATTGAAGAAG